AAAAAAAAAAGTTATGGGTTTATTCATGCTGTAAATCCCTGAGCGTGAGCAGCATCATTTGTTTCAAATGCACAGACATCTCTACCCTGTACTTGTAGGAGAGATGCTAAAACAGTAGCAGGGTACCAAAAGGACCAAGTTGTGCTGCGGTGTTCATGTCTGTGTCTCCTGCTCTGCTGACTGTACAGGCTAGTGGGATATTTATGCCTGGTTATCAGAACTTTTGTGTGTTCCCATATGGTCGTAAGTAATCCAACTGATGGAAAAATGTTCTCCTTTGGAACAGTATACTGAAATTCCACTGGAGAGAAATAATCAGATCAACCTTGATATCCATAGAATACTTTCTACATATGATCTTTAACTTTAAAACCAAGATTACGGGCTTAGCAATGGATATGCAGGTAAGTCTCAACTCTCTGCTCTTCTGTGTGTTTCAGAAGTTGAGGTTAATTACATTGACCGTATAAAATGATAACTGTTGTTATCTTGAATATGCTGTTAACTTAGCCTCTGAGGCTCTTGTAGGCGTTATCTAAATCATTGGCTTTTCTGTTTATTTCTGACTTATGCTTGAGCACTCAGAGTAATGTGTGTGCAGTATTCCCTAGGCAAGTGTGAGGTTAGGTAGTCTTTGAAAACAGATTATATGATGAAGGGAAACTCCCCCGTCCCCCAATTACAGCTTACACCGATGGCTTTGATTTCATGTAAGAACGTTAACTATTGATTATAGATATTTTTATGGGATTCATTATATGAACGTGATTTTAATGAGTGTCCTCTGCAGCCTTTGGGGTGGGCGGTGTGGCCGGCCTGCCGGCTGACACTAGCCGGTGGCACGAGCTCCTGGCGCGCTCAGAGGCTCCCATGTTGGCTTTTTCAGCTGCTGCTGATCCCCCTCATCATGTCCGTGCTCTACGTCTGGGCCCAGCTCAACAGAGACGTGATTGTGTCGTTTTGGTTTGGAACACGATTTAAGGTACTTCAACTTGGTGGGGCAAAACTCGTTTTTTTGTCTTTGTAGTAATTCCCCCTAAGCTCCAATGTGTGCCTTCAGACACCTCCAGAAGGGGTCACTGCAGAGCAGTATAGCATAGTCAAATGTGGCCCCCCCACCCCCAATCCTGCTCCTAGCCATTCCAGCAGCCCTTGCTGGTATTGCTTCAGTAATCCCTCTGAACCTCAGGCTCCCCAGGGATATGATCTGTGTGTGGGGGGGGAGCAGGGGGAGGAGAGAGGGGGAGAGGGAGAGAAGAGAAATTTGAAGACAGATAACATGCAGGAATCCTGCCGTTTCTTATCTTTTTGTCACTCCTGCACTTCCTTTTAGGTTCTAAATACTTTTCCTAGAATAGCACCCATGAGTGCTCCCTGAGCTTGCCATTGTCTACTGTAATGTCCTACTCTTTACAGATCTGAACATTGCTTGAGTCCCCTGCCGGGAGTTAGACTCGTCTTGTCTGGGGATTCTGTAGTGCTCACCCACCTCAGTTAGCCTTCCAGCTGTTTATGTATAACCTTCTTTGTACTTGTTTGTGAAGTTCCCTGGAAGTTCACTCAGTTTGGACCCGGATGTCAGATCTGGGAAGCCCATGTCTTGTTGAGCCATCCACACACCATGTTAGATAAACATTCAAGCTCATTTTTTGTGACCATGTGCTGGTTGTAGTCACAGAATTTGGGTTTTTTTTTTTACCATTATGACACTGGTTAATTTCTTTGCTAACATTAACTCCGCAGTATAGTGTTTGAAAGGACTCCTTCCAGCAGTTGCAGGTGCCCAAGTAAGTACAGTGCATTTGTGAAACAATATGATAGGGATGGTGTTAGAGCTGAGGAATTTTATAGGGACCCAGTGAGCTCTGGGAAGCCCTGGTTGGTATTTTCTTGCCCAGTTTTATAGTTCCCCAGTGTCTTCAGATGTGCTGTTCACACTTGTGTCCTCTTTCCTAGGCCTGCTATTTACCTTGGGTTATCCTTGGATTCAACTATATCATTGGAGGCTCGTAAGTTCTGTTAAATTTATTTGACTGGAAACTTAATTCATCTTTGTCTTTCTTTCCTAGTCTTTTAAAGACTTTAAGGAATCTCAGTGTTGATATGTGAGAACCCGTGAATATGTCTGGGTATGACTGCTTGCCCAGAGGACTTTAAGCACCCTGGACACTGGACGGCTATCACTTGTTAGCTTGTCGCTACATACATTGTGTTTCTAGTCACGTGTCTTTGAATATATGTGCCTTTCTGTATTCAGTATCCATACTGAGCAAATACAGAACTCATTTGCCTTGATTCCTCTTAGGAACTTGTCCACAAGATGACTCTATTGTGTATTTTTAAGGCACTTCCAGAGTGCCTTGGAAATGGTGTACTGCCTCAGAAGTGGAGAGTCTCAGATAAGAAGAGTCTTGAACATGGTTTGATGGTCTAGAACTTTTGCCAGGCAGGACCAAGTTTCTACTCTCTTGCTGAGATGTAGGAAAACCTTTCATGTTTCCAGTCTGAGTTCAGAGAGAGGCCATTTAGATGGAGCCATCCTGGGCTGGAGGGTCACACAGTGACCCTCAGTGGTCAGGAGTGGGCACTGCTCTCAAAGAGGACCCAAGTTTACTTCCAGCTCCTGAGTCGGGCAGCACACAACTGCTGTAACTTTAGCTCCATGGGTGTCTGATCTCTCTGGCTTGCTTGGGGGCTTGTATCCATGTGTACACACACATAGGCATGCACATACAATTACAAGTAAGTTTTAAAGTCTCTTCTGCCTGGTGTGGAGGGAGAGGCAGGCTCTGGGAGTTCAAGGCCAGCCTGGTCCACATAGTGATTTCCAGGAAAACCATAGCTATGTGGAGAAAAAAAATATGTGTCTCAAGAAAACCGAAAAATAGCGAGAATGTTCTTAAAAACAAAATAACAACAACAACAAAAAACCCCACAAGCTAGAGATATTTTAAGAACTCCCATTTCTTACATTACCAAATATTTTCAAGTTAGATTTTAAGAGTACTCATCCTTTCATGTAGCTGATACATTTCCCTGTGTGGTGCGTCCTCCTCCTGTGTGTGTTTCCAGGGGGCAGCGAGTGCACTAAATACAAGGCTGAGTAGATCACAGCACATTTTGAGATTGCCAAGTCCTCCTCCACCCCCAAGGGCAGAAGTTGCAGGTGTTGGTTTGCTCCGGCCAAACGGCATGTGGGTGAAGATGAAGAATGACTTGTAATAGCAGTGTGGATGGTGAGGTGACTGTGTGAGCCTGGGGACCTGAAGAAGGCGGTACTTACTGTGGGATGCAGGGCAAAGAAGGCGGTACTTACTGTAGGATGTAGGCGGTACTTACTGTAGGATGTAGG